TTTGGTCCACAAAGTACTTAAGTCTTCGCAGCCAGGAACACCAACAGAAGCAACTCCACATATTACTGCATCAAGAACCATTTTTGAGTTGTCCTCTAAATCTATATGCAACTTTCATCAGTTTTTGCCGTTTTCTGGTTCGATCCTGTCTGTCAGTGTCAGTCTAGGCCTGAAGAGATAATGATGTAGTATTCCAGAAGACGGAGATATTCGATAAAACACACTCCCCTGCCGTAGTCGAACTGATGTCTTCTGCGTGCAGAGGCGAAGAGCGTGAGCAGTACAACACGAACGCTGGACCAAAAATGACCATCTTTACGGCTCACCTATAAATAATTACCCCCCCCCCCCCCCGCCCTTCCCTCTCTCTCTCTCTCTTTCTCCCCCCCCCGCGCCCTTCCAATATCTTTGATTTAACATTGTACTTTGTTCTTATCGTTGTATAGTTAATAGCGCACAGAGCGTGCTGAAAAGCGTGGATATGCGCAATATAATACTATTATCTTGATTATCATCATCTTTTAAATTACTATCACCATTTTTATTATCATCACCATTATCATTATAAATACCATTATTATTACTACATGTATTATTATTGTTATTATTATTATTATTATAGTTATTATTGTTATTATTATTATTGTTACCATTACCATTTTTATAATTATTATTATTATTATCATATTATCAATAATAATACATGTACTATCATCTTTATTATCAATGCCTCTAATCATCATCCAGCTTACGGTGGGACTTGTACCCTTTTATACAGAACGAACGTATACCGTTCTACAAAGCCAGTGGGCTCACAAAATTGCTTATGAACAGCAACAATGAACAAAAATAGACATGGGTTAGGAGAATAACTTTAGAAAACAGTGGCATGTCTTTTCTCCTTACTTTGCTTATAGGCAAACTATTAAGCTTCCCATTTCCGTCGTATTTATGGCGCCTTTTCTCCTTTCTAAAAAGCTTAGCACTATCAAGCTATTTTCTTTCTTTCTGCCATTCATTAACATTAACGCCATCATTTGGTTCCTTAGCATTATTAAACGTGTTCGTAACTCAAGCATTATCAAACTATATTCTTTCTTTCTTACATTTTGGAATAATCAAACTTGTATCTTTTTTTTTTCTTCTTATATCAAAGCATTCTCATTTTTTTACCTGGTTTTCTTTTACCTTAGCATTACCATTTTGTTGAGCTGTTGTTGGTTTTTGTTGGGAGGTTGTTTTTTCCCCTTGTTATACCTTCGCACTATCAAACTTGTCTTGCTAATGATAGGGCACATGTGTGTTACAATTTAGCCCATCTTAGCCGGCCGTCCGGGAAGGGGCTTTGTCTTTCTGTTCACGAGACTTGAGTTCATAATACTCCACATAGCCGTCCAGGTTTTTATCGTACGCTCCAAGGACCTCGTCAACGGTCTCGGCGAGACTGTCGTCAGACTGGACACGCACGTCTTTGCCATCACCATCCAGGTAATCGTCGTCCTTCTCATTCCCGTCTGGTTTGTTGGTTTAAGTGAGTAAAGAGAAGCACATCCACACAATCATGGTCATTTAGCGCTGGGGCAAAAGTAAGACAGACAGACCCCCCCCTCTCCTCCCCCCTCCCCCTCTCCTCCCCCCTCCCCCCCAAAAATACAGATGGAAAGTAAAGAAGTAGGAACTACCAGTGGCGCGCCCTCCAACCACCTGCATTCGCGTCTGGAAAGACACAGTGGACAGAGGGGCGGCTTTCTTCTTCTGTTTCTTCCTCTTCTTTTTCTTCCTCCTCTTCCTCTTCTTTTTCTTCCTCCTCTTCCTCTTCTTTTTCTTCCTCCTCTTCTTCTTCTTTTTCTTCCTCCTCTTCTTCTTCTTCTTCTTCTTCTTCTTCTTCTTCTTCTTCTTCTTCTTCTTCTCGTTCATCTCTAAATGGACATCTCGGTCTCTGGTGCGAGGGCTTGCTGTTCGCCGCAGGTCCTCCAGGCCCCCATAGAGTGTTGGGTCTCTCTGTTTAGGGAGGGGGCAATATTTCCATCTAAAATGGGGGCGACTAACTAAACGTATCCGGGAAAACGTCGATTTTTGCCCAGCTGGTTTGTCAACGTAATACCGAAAGCTACTCAGATCTCCCTGCGTGGATGACCCGCCATACTATCCTCAGAGAGAATATTTTTAGTTTCCTCTGGACATCCTGTTTATTGTTATTTGAACTTCATTATTGTCTGGTTATACGTAATGTATATATATATATATATATGCAAACGTAAATGTAATGTATATACATAAATATTATAGTATATATAGATATAATGTTTACACATGTATAGCATATATCACTCTACACATTATAATAAGATTTTCTTTTCTTTTTTTTTTTTAATATTATATTGTCCATGGCTTCCACCTGTCTATAGCACCCACTTTTCTTCTCGACAATGGGTAGCTGTCTTGGACAGTATCGACTGTATTTCACAAACGTAAAGAATTCTCCGTTCTAAACATCTTATTAGGTCAAGATGAACTCATCAAAGCTGAGATTTCAACCGCGGCTTTCACTAGCGACTGTGCAAACACATTAATAGCAAATTAATACTGGTGCAAATCTAAGAGCAACAATAAAATATAAACAAAAAAAAAGGGGGAGGGGAAGGTGGACAGCCTTCACCACGAGAAGGAGAATATACAATAAGAAAAATGGCAAAAAGGGCAAACCGCAAGAAAGCCCACATGCATGCAGCTACGGAGAGCTCTGGTTATCAACAAGAGGCAACATTCAAAACAGAAAATTCAGAAAAGCATTTGTCTCTACTGACAAAACGCATCGAACTGCAATGTTGTCGTACCACAAACACACGGGCGTGTAAAGTTATAAATAGTCATCATACAACCACTTGTATTAGTCGAAAATACAAAGCCCCCTTCAGATTATATTTCCGATTCACTACCCCGTTACCCCTGTCTAAATCATAGAGAAGTAAAAACATATTTTTACAGATTAGAACATCAATGAAGCGCTGAACACAGAGAGAACAGCGTCCCCCCTACCCCCCTTCTTTTTCCATCTCACCCCCCCCCTTTCCCACCTCCACTCCATTCTTTGTATCTAAAACATTAGAAGCTTCCCTTTTTCTCCGTCTTTTCCTCCTGCATTAGCTGTCAGGGCCTCCGAGAAGCTCTCTCCAGCCTCCCCATGACCCACTCTCAAATCCTGACATTTCGGTTAATCAACTTATGGACTCGGGGAGAACGTGAAAGGCAACAACACTGGGCGCTCTCACACAGACGAACCGCGGATTTCTCCACACTTGGGCTAATGCTACCCACAAACCCTGCATGGCTCGCGCACCACGATGACAATCTCATTTCAAGCCTATGACTTAAGACCGTAAAAGTTATCTAATGGATTAATGCAGTTTCTAAATGCTGCCCTTTCATCCAAAATAACAAAAATACTAAACGGAATAAAATATTCCAGGTGAAACTTTCTGATTATGCCATTCTTTATTTCCAGTCCCCCCCCCCCCCCCCCCCCCAACCAAAAAAACCCTTTGCAGTGGGTCTCTCCATAATCATTATTGTACACAAAGTCAGAGTTAAATTAAAAAATCATAAAACAAATGTTTTTATTCCTATGCACAAATATGTTCAGGAAAGACTTACAATAGCATAATATGTCAGCCAAGGGCCGACACAGGTCAACGCTTTGACCGGGGCAAGACTGGCATGCTTTCTTTTAGGGGGGGGGGGGTACTGACGGTACAACGTAAACAGAACATCTGAGGAGACCTATGCACCAATATGGTAATCCGAGTTGTCAAAAGAAAAACCAGAGATCCATAACAGAAAGCACATGAAAAAAGAGCATTTCCACGTTGGCCAGTAAGATGAAATAGAGCGGTTAGAAAGTCGAGGAGTGAAGGAGCATTAAAAAGTCAACAATCAACTACTTCTCCTAAACAATTTACAGTACTGTTTGGGTAGGAAGTTGGGGGTTCATCATTGAATTCTTGACACCATTCTGGAAGCAGCGTGATATACGCCTTGATTTTAAAAAGCACATATGGTGACAACTATCTTTACCGAGATCTCCAGCGGCAAGCATGAACAGTTACCCACCCAGGGATATAAATTTAAGTTAAATATATTCGCATGGATACTTTAAATAATTTTTCTCCCTGCTGCCTGTTTAACAAGTAACAAGGTTTTTAAATTTAAATCGCAGCATCAATCGCAACATGGTCGAAGGGAGATAACAAACACAAATATGCGCACTTACCTATTTACCTCCCTTTATAATTTTGACAGTATCTTCACCCCGGCGCGCTACCCACATCATAGACTCAGGAATGAGAAATCGTAAATAATATCAAAATAAAACAAAGAGTATTTTGCTCCACTGTATAAATTCTTCATACTATGAAGTGATGCAGCCTCATTAAAGCTTAAATCAAGCCAAGCAAACGGGTGTTTTAGCATGAAACTGAAGTGAGTTCAGAAGAGACCTTGATGCATCCAAATGTTTCGATGCACCAACATCTAATCACTGCTTTCAACTTATTTATCACTTACCGTAAAGCATGCGTAAAGGTGCAATAGGCCAGAGTCCATATGAATCAAGAACCTCGTCCCACAGAAAAAAGTGTCCAAGTGCACAAAAAGTCAACAAAAAATTTACTTACCTTCACATTCACGAAAGAAAGGCCAAAAGAGTCAAGGAAAAGACATAAAAAAGTGCTGTTTTAAGAGAAACAGCACTTTATAACATAAAGTAAACAAATGAAATATATGTTCACCGCAACAAAAAAAGCCAAGATGAGAGGAAAAATTGCCAAATGCTACGAAAAAAGAGGACACATGTATTCAAAAGCAGTAAAACTGTCCAAAACACCTAGACGAAACAAAAGATTTACGGGGGGGGGGGGGGAGAGAAGAGGAAGAGATAGAAGAGAGAGAAAGAAGGAGAGAGCAGTAGAGGTAAATGTCTAGAGAAAAAAAATTTCACTCACCATCATGGAAATGTGTGAGAGCTTTACCAATCTCCACTCCATCCAGTTTGTTGTTGTTGTCATAGTCGTGGAGCTTGAAGTAATGGAACTCCAGCTCCTCCTCCGTCATCTGGTCTTTGGACTTGGTGGACACCACCTTCTCCAGATGCTCCAGGATGTGACTGACGGGAACAAAATGTTAAGAGATTTAGTCGAGAGAAACACACCGACACAATAATGATCATGTAACGCAGGGAAGAAGCAAGGATGGATGGACAGAAACAACTGAGTAAAAGAAAAGAAGCAAGACGTTTCAGAGACAACCTCCAATCACCCTCGAAGGGAAACACAACCATTATTCATTAAACTTGTGGGGTTTGTTAGGCCTGAGGTAAAGGGCTAACCTCCAACATCAAAGTACCCAGCATAACCCCCTGAGTACAGGCAAATGTGGTTGGTGGATAGCTTGGCTTTGTTTATGTTTTTTGTGGTGGGGGGAGGGGAATTTTGTTAAAAGTTTTACTGCACTTGCAACACAAATAGGTCACATCTTCTTCTTTGCATTCCCTTGCTAGATCACACGGGTACCCGACAGCTAGTTCTTCAACCTGCAGTGTAACTGATTATTAAGTCTGTGACCTTTTTTCCAGCCTGGTTGGGCCCCTTGCCTTCAGGCAGCCACATTTAGATTTCGAAGGTACACTATGTTATTATACTTATAATAATATTTTCAGTTTTGTTCGTAATTAATTTTGAATTTTGCCTGGGTAGCAGTCGAAGCTTACCACCAAGGACCATCAAGAGATCTTCAATGTCCTCAACCTTGCACACAGAATCTACAATATTTTTTTTACCATTATCCAAGAAAGCTAGGTAGGTGTTAGATTTTACCTACCCAAAGATCAGGGGTGTAGCTGAAAGACAGTAATAATGAGGAGCCCAGAGAAGGAGCAGGGCAGAAAGTGAAGATGAAAGCAGAAGACAGAACATGACGAGAAAACAGGAAAAGAAGTAAAAGGAGAACATTTTAGGAAAGAAAGTTTTTTGTCGCTATCAGGTTTTGAAAAAAAGGACCTACTGAATGAGAGGCAAACATACACTGTACCTCTAGACCACGACAGCCCCCAATATATGTCATATAAAAGTCGAAGATTACAGGCATCACTGAAGAGTAACATGAAAGTGTAAAAAAGAAGGAAAGATAAGGACGATAGATGTTTGATAGGAAAAAAGGACCACAATACACCAGAGCACCAGCCAAACACCCACTTGGGGAGACATTATACCCCCCCCCCCCCCCCCCCCCGTGCACATTACACTGATTTGACTCTAAGTAGCCGGCACATCTACTGGCTTGATGCTGCATTATTTTTCCTTTTGCTTTCCTCATGTATCATAAACAAATATATCTGCTTGTCTTAATTGCAACCCTATCCTCATATATCAAAACTCAATCCTTTACAGGAAAATCTGGTGGGCATCCTCAGCTCATCTAAGTTACTAATATTTCACTCACCCTACTTGCCGAGTTCCAAGACAAGAGGAGAGAAAGTACTTTTGTAAATTCATAAAAATAATGATATTACATTTTGTAACAAAATAACAAGGCTGCACTTCTACTAAACCTCACAATGTTCAGGTATATTGGTGTAAAAATGCAAAAGCTACATTCCACAATGAATAAAGAAATGGAAGGGCTCAAATTTATGGCTGCAAGGCAAGACAATTTTACTAATGGTTGACACGTAACAGGTTTTTAAATGTAGGAGCCCTGTCCTGGCCACTTTCTGGATGCACATAGATTTCTGGAAAGTAAGCAAATGAAGAGGTCTAGATTTTGAGCAACTTCAGGTGGTTTGATGTCAGGGTTGGTGATTTTTTATTTTTTTTAAATAAAAATTTTAAAAATCGATTTTTAAAAATTTAAATCAGATTTTTTAAAATTTAAATCGGATTGTTTTTTTGTTTTTTTTAATGTCGACACACTTTGGGATTTTTTGTGGCTAAAAGTAAGTTCTTTTAGTGCAAAATGCTTTGTCTTTATTTTAACTAATGATTAATTTAAGCAACTGAAATTTTAGAAAGCCTTAATCTGCTATATCAGTGAATTATGGCTACAGACAAAATATGAAGAAAATGTCAGTCCAAAAGGAAGAGGGGGGGTAATTATGCATAGATAAACTTGCATTTTATTACAGTGTGTGTGTGTGGGGGCGCTTGTGTTTGTCTAAAAAGAAAAAGAAAATGCTAATTTCAATTATGAAAAAAAGTAAATTGAATACAGTATTATTTTACTACTTACAGTGACAGGGGGGAAAGCAGACTTTTAAGCATGATTATTTTAGTCTACTAACCTTATATCTGTTTTATAAAACCAAGGAAAAGAATTCTGAATGTTTAAAGATGTAAAAAGAGAATACATTTTTTTAAAGTGATTTAAATCACTGAGTTTTATTTTTAAAATCAAGTTGATTAAAAAAAAATTTTAATCAACTGATTTAAATCGACCTGATTTAAATCAACCCAACCCTGGTTTTCAATTATGAAAAAAAAGTAAATTGAGAACTGTATTATTTTACAGTGACAGGGGGGAAAGCAAACTTTTAAGCATGATTATATTAGTCTACTAAACCTTTTATCTGTTTAATAAAACCAAGGAAAGGAATTCTGAATGTTTAAATATGTAAAAACTGAATACAATTTAAATCACTGAGTTTTATTTTAAAAATCAAGTTGATTAATATTTTAAAAAATCAACTGATTTAAATCAACCCAGCTCTGATTTCAATTATGGAAGAAAAAGGTCATGGTAGTATTGGGTTTTACGGCGCTCGCAACTGCTAAGGTCATATGAGCGCACGAAACACAAGTTGTTTACTTTCGCAAAAGTTAACTGCACGGTTGGTTAGCTTTTAGCCTTTAAAATTTTAAAAATCAGTGTAGACATAAATTTTCGATCTAAAATAATTTTTCTAGTTAACATAAAAATTTTTAATAGTATCAAATTCACTCTACAACTCACCATAAAGGCCAATGGCCTTTATAAAATTTTTAATTCTGCTGGGAACAACGACGGAAAAAATGTCCTGCAATTTCTTGCATTTATAGTATTTCCTTCGGATCTCTCCAAAGTCTAGACATTTGGTTAAGATGTGTCTAATGGTAAAATCTGTGCCGCATCCGACACAGAACGGCTTCTCATCTCCCTGTAGGAGGTATTTGTGGGTCAGGGCCGTGTGTCCGATGCGCAATCGAGTAAAAATGACTTCGTCTCTTCTGGAGAGGTCCGAAGGATTTCGCTGTTCTAGTTTGGGTTTTATTTCATATAGTTTATTATTTTTCTGCTTTTCCCAGTGGCTCTCCCTCAGACTGAAGGTGTACTTTTTGACTTTATTTCTAAAGTCAGTCTGTGAAAGAGTGTTTGTCGTTGATCCCAGCAGAAGGGATGAAGCTTTCTTTGCCAGGTCGTCTACCTGCTCGTTTCCTCGGATGCCCACATGGCTGGGTATCCATGCGAACATGATGTTTTTTCCTGTTTCGGATAGTGTATGAATTTTCTGTTGTAGCCTAACTATTTTTGGGTGTAAGAGTGTGTAGTTTGTGAGTGAGGTGATGCAAGACAGAGAGTCAGAAAGGATAAGGAAAGATTTGTTAGGTGAATTTTCTACAGAGTCCAGTGCCATGTCAATGGCAGTGGCCTCCGCAGAGAAAATGGAGGCTTCAGGATGGAGTCTCCTCTGGTGTGTACTGTTGGAAGATAGGGCTGCGGCGCCCACTTCATTGTCTTTTTTGGAGCCATCTGTGAAGATGAGCTCCGCACCGGGGTATTTATCTATTAGTTTTTTGTATTCTGCTTTAAAAATTTTGGTTTGTGTGCTTTGTTTGTTGTGTGTGGTCAGCTGTAAATCTACTTTTGCCTTGGTGAGGTGCCACAGAGGGAGGTCGGGGAAAAGAATTTGTTGGATGTCTTGTTTGGAAAAGTGTAAGTTTTTGAGGTCCTCAAGGATTCTGAGGCCGAAGGGTTTGATGAGTTTTTCGTTGTTTTGGAATTTTTTTATGGTTTCTGGGTTTGTTTCGAAAATGCTGTTGTGCGCTGGATTTTCCGGTGTTGAGCTCTGTTCAACTGCGTATTGTAGTGAGAGTTGTGTGCGTCTGAGTGAGAGTGGTGGTATGTTGGCCTCGGCCTGGAGGCTCTCCAGCGGAGAAGTGCGGAAAGCCCCCAGAGCGAGGCGGAGTCCTTGGTTTTGTATTGGATCTAGTATTTTTAAGACGTGTGGTTTTGCCGATCCGTAGACTTGACAGCCGTAGTCAAGCCTGGACCGCACAAGGGAGATGTACAAGTGGAGAAGGTGTTTTGAGTCCCCGCACCACTCCGGATTCGATAGAATTTTCAAAGCGTTTAACGCTTTCTGGCACCTCACACGAAGGTCTTTGATGTGTGGTATGAATGTTAGTTTTTTGTCGAAAATGACGCCGAGGAAACGAGCTTGGTCCTGGACGGGAATCCTTTCCCCGTATAGTGTCAAATCCGGCTGCAGCACACGTCTGCCTGTTCAGCAGAAGTGTACTGCAACCGTCTTTGACGGGGAGAACTTGAAACCGTTATTGTTTGCCCACGTTTCGAGTTTGTGCAGCTGCGTTTGCAGCTGCCTTTCCATAGATCTCAAATGAGGATTTTTCGAACGGCAGCATATAAAAAAGTCGTCAACTTATAACGAGCTGTCTATGCTGCTTTGGAGGGTTTTCACTATGGAATTTATTTTAATTTCGAATAGAGGATCCAACACGAACCTGGAAGGAACGGTTCTTCAGGAAGTTGCCAATGAAGGCAGGGAGGTGACCGCGTATGCCGAGTGCATGCAGGTCTCGAAGAATGCCGTACTTCCAGGTTGTATCGAAGGCTTTTTCTAGGTAAAAAAAGATGGCGATCATATGGCCTCTTTCAGCGAACGTCTCGCGTATAAAGGTCTCCAGGCGGACCAGGTGATCCAGAGTGGATCGAGTTTTCCTGAATCCGCACTGGAGACCGCTCAGCGAGCCCGTCGTTTCCAGAAACCACATGAGTTGCCTGTGAATAATTTTTTCAATCAGTTTGCAGAGACAGCTCGTTAGTGCTATAGGTCTGTAATTGGATGGGTGTGCGTGGTCTTTGTTTGGTTTGGGTATTGGAATGACAGTGGCG